CCCAGGTCCCCCCAGAGCACACCCCCCACGTTGCCAGTGGGCTCACCCTGGGGTGCATCGCGCCTTGGGGACAGTCCCTGGGGGTGGCAGCGGCTGTGTCCCCACAAGAGCAGCCGGACGCGGCCGCTCGTCACCTGTCCGGTGCAGTCAGAAGCCTTCGGCCTCCGGGGTGTTGGGTTACGGGACAGAAAAAACCTCTCGGGGGCCCCTGGTTATTTTTACAGATTTCCTGTCACCCGCCCTCCGGTAGCAGAGGTCCCACGGGGGGGGTGAGTGGGGTCCCTGTCTCTTGGGGCGGCTGCGGCTGCCGGGGAGGGGGTGCTGGGGGGACCGACGGGTGCTGTGGCCCTGTGCTGGACCGTGCACTGGGAAAATAATGCTTTTTGGTTTTTTTAAAAAAAAAAAAAACAAAAAAAACCCTGCAGGCAGGGCTCAGTGGAGCAGGGGGGCGGCTTCTTTGGGATGCTGCTGCGTGGGTCCCCTGGGAAAAAGGCAGGATGGGTGTGCAGGTGACACCCCGGCCGCTCGCCCCCCCTCGCTGACCAGAGCCGTCCCCTCTGTCCCGCAGCCGACTACATCGTGATGCAGTTTGGGCGTGTGGCGGATGACGCCTTCACCATGGACTACAACTACCCGCTCTGCGCCGTGCAGGCCTTCGCCATCGCCCTCTCCAGCTTCGATGGGAAGCTGGCCTGCGAGTAGCGCCCGCGCCGGGGCTACCAGGGCCACCGGGGCCACTTGCCGGTGTCTGGTGGATGCTCTGGCACCCCCGTCCTGCTCCACTCCCTCTGTTTCCACCTTTTGCCCAGCGAAGGCTTGTGGTTGCAGCCGCTCCTGGGAGGGTTTGAGGGGCACGGTGCCCGCGGAGCGCCGTGGGACGCCTGGTCAGCCACGGGCCACCCTCTCCAGGGAGATTTGGGACATGTTGCAGGTCTGGGGCAGATGGTAGGGTCAGGCCCGGGGTATATTTAGCAGATGAGGCTGACTGAGATCCCAATCTCATCCCTTTGAGACGTTTCTTGGACTCAGATCCTGGAAACTCATCCCCCTTTTTATTTTTTTTTTTTTTTAGATTCTGGTTTGTATTTTGTAGCTCAGTCTCTCAGTGAGAGGGGGGTTGGTGGTCTCCTCGGTTTGTGTTTCCTCATCCCTCTGTGCGTGTGCACAGACAGAGCCCACGTGTGGCTGGGCTCTGCCCAAGCTCCTGGCGAGGGACCCTCCTGCCCCGCTCGATGCCCACTGGGCACCAAATCCTTTTTTTTGCCCCATTTTGCTGTGCGGTGCCTGTGGTGTTTTTGCACACCCCAGGGCTCTTCACCCACTGGGTCTAACCCCTCTGCCTGGAGACCTTTGGGGATTTGGGTCCCTGAGGAGCAGCCTGGCACCCAGAGCACCGGTGGCACGCGGGCACGTGCCGAGAGAAGCCGGTGTGGGCGGGGGAGGGCTGGTAGCCACGTGAGACAGAACCGGCATCGCCAGCACGGGGCTGGGCTGGGTCGGTGCCACCAGGAGGGACCTGGAAGGGAAAACTCTGGGTGCACCAGGAAGCGCCGAGGTGACTCACGAGGTGTGGTGCGGCGCTGAGTCACGCTCAGCACCCGGCCGGGCCCCGCCGAGCCCCCCGTGCCCCCGGCGCTCTGCGGCATCCCTGTGGTTCACACCGGGCCAGGGGTCCCACGGAGCCCCGCAGGGCCCCAGTGTCCCCACTGCTGGGACTGGCCCCATTGGTGCTCCCTGCTCGTGGGGAGGTGCCACACCGTGGCACTGACCCATGGGGTGTCACAGGGGGCTGCGGGGAGTCACTGGGAAGGGGAAATGTTGCAGAAGGGCAGCTCAGGGGGAGCAGGTCAGTCCTTGCCCCCCATTTCCAGCACAACCCCACCTTTGTGGGGTGAAGATTTGGCTGCACGGACAGTCCCAAATCTGATTAATTCAGTGGTGAGAGACACTGGGACATGCTAAGGTGTTGGCATCCCAAAACACCATCCTTGACTCCCTGATAACGCTTCTCTCACCTGCTCAGCTCAAGCACTGACCCCAGGGGGCTCATACAACTTGGGGTCCCCTTCCTGGGACACATATAGGTCTTTTACCCATTCTGGGGTGACCTGAGCCCCCCACATTAATACTATGAGAGGTAGCCAGGGCGGAAAAGCCAAGGAGTGGGAGATGGATGAGACAGAGGCCGTTGTGCAAGGGGGATGCTTGTCCTCGCTGGGCAGTGTCACAACGCTACCATGGCCCAAACCCGTCCCTGCGCAGGGCTGGGGACAGTTGACAGTGACAGTGGGACCACGAGCCACAGTCGGACCTCTGGCAAACATCTGCCCCAGTGGCTTTGCAGACGGAGCTGAGATTTTCCCACCAGCTGCGTGAATCCAGGCTCTGTGATTCATCGGCAGACACTCGTGGTGGGGGCAGACGGGGGCGGATGCTCGGGGACAACGGGCCAGCGTGGGATATCGTGAAACTTTCTTGTGAGCTAAAGGGAGAACCAGCCGCCACGGTTTGGGGCCAGCGTCCCCTGCCTAGGTATGGCCAGCAAATGTGGGGAAAGCAAGAGCTTTCTGCCCAAATCCAGCCACAAACCCAACATCTGTTTGAAATTGGGAAAAACCTCGGCTAACGTTTGAGCTAACGCTTGTCCCCTTTTCCTCTGGTGGAAGCAGAGAAGCCAAAGCAAGCGGAGAAAGAGGGATTTGGGCTCCCCAAGCTCTCACTGGATCACGAGCTGCCGTTATTCCAGCTGCTTCCCAGGAAGTTTCTCCCTCCCCTCACCCAAGGAGTCCCCGTGTTGCCCATTGTTGCTTGCAAACCCCTCGGGATTCCCAGCCTTCAGCCCAAGCGGAGCAGAAAACCAGCCACGGGTGTCCATGGCCGTGCCACGCCATCCCAGAACGCAGTCACCGCACCAGCCGCCCACCCCAAATCACTTACACAAACCCTCTAACCCAAACCAACTGCGGCACAAGAAACAAATGAAAACAATTTAATAGGGCGATGGATATTCGGGCCCTTTGTTTGCGCTGGCTGTTAACACCAGAGGAGATGAGGAATGGAAGCAGCCGAAATGTGTATCTACTTTGGCCGACGGAAAGTGTGACGGATGCGCCGGCAGACCAATGGCTGAGGATGCTGGGGTGTGCGTGGGTGTGAAAGGAATGCTCTCTGCAAGAAAAGATCAAAAAAAAAAAAAAAAGGAGCCTTATCAACCGCGTTTGAGCCCAAAGTGTGTGTCTTCCATGGAGAAGGGGTTTTCTCAATCCCCAGGGATTATGTTTTTGCCGCAGCGGGAGACTTTGAGGCTTCTGAAGCTTTATTTTAGGGGGCTGGTGTTAGGCTGGTGGTGCAGGGATGGATTTAACCCCACGATGCGCTCATCGGGGGCACGAGCACTCCTCAAGGGAACCTCCTGCGAAACGCATTTTATTTTTGCAAAGATGGGTATAAGGCGAAGGGGCGGGAAAAGAAAAAAAAGTCCCACCTCGATGCTGAGCGTCACATCCTCACTAGGACCAACGTCACCGCGGCGCCGGTGGCTCTCGCAGGCGGTGGGTGCCGGCATCCCCATCCCGTGGCGATGAGCAGAAAGAGGCTGGTCCAGAGCTGAGCAGGAGGAGGAAGTGGGGGGCTCTTCTCCACCCCCTCGCTTCTCCCTCTGCCCCAGACCCCCAGGGCTCGGCAGCAGGGGGGGGCTCCATGCACCCAGCCCTGAGCACAGGCTGAGCCCCTGCACTCTTGGGGGGGGGCTGGGGGTGTTTCTGTGGGGGTCCAAAAGGCCCCATCGGCCGCTGCATCCCGGCAGGTTCAGGAGGGGAGGCCTGAGCGGGGAAACTCCTCGCCCGGGTGGAAGAGCCGGAGCTGTTTGGTTGCCAGCGAGTGCCCTGCCCAGCAAAGAGCATCGCCTCAGCCCCGGGGGCTCTCGTCCCCTGAAGTGGTGATACATTAATTAATCAAAGTAGTAATCGTGATGGGGTGTTTTTGTCTCCCCTTCCCCTTCCCGTGTATTGCTTTCGGTGACATTTTTTAGAGGGAAAGGCAGACTCGTGACTGGTAAGCTGGGCTGTGGGTTTGCAGGATGGGCTCCTTCTCGGCACAGCAAGCTACAGGCAGTAAGGGGAAAGCCAATATTTTTCAACTGCTTTTAAAAAGGAATCATTTTTTAATTAGTGAATCCATTCTGGAGAAGTGTTGGAGTTTTACAGTGTTGTAGCTGTTCTTGGTGTCTTGCCTAGACTTGGATGTTCTGGCCATAAGAAAATATTATTTATGGCGTTGCTGCTTGCAGCTCTTTTATATTATAATTTGGGAAAGGAAGTTGCTGTTCCCACCAGTGGACGAAGAATAGCAGAAACGAGGATTACGGACTTCTGAAGGAGGGCAGGGGGGGATGGGGGGGTAAAATTAAGAGGCAAGGGCTGGAAGAAACCACCGAGTCGGGCTCGAATCGCCACGCTCCGGAACAAGCTCATCCCGGCCTCGGCGGCGGCTGGGTCGGATGCTGTAACCGAGCCGAAGGCCGACCCTGCACAGGCCCGGCGCAGCGGTGACCCCCTCGGTACTCCCCTGCGCAGCTTTCCATGTGTTCCTAAACATTTGCAGATCAGGCTTTTATTCATGGGCTAATGCACGCTTGTTTGCTCATGCCTTACTCAGCCTAAACTCCTATTGAACTCAATTAAGCCTGTCATCTCCAGGAGCAGTCAATGTCATTTTTGCCCAAGTAAGGGATGAGTAACGAGTGCTCCGAATGGCCCTTGGAGAATAGCAGCCATTTTGTTGCAGTTTTTGGTCCAGATTTCTTACAAGTTAGCACCAGGCCAAGGGTGGAAGAATGCGATAGGGCTTTATTAATCACACACAATTGCTGAACGCGCTGGATGCTTTGGAGACTGTCGCTTTACGGGCTGCAGCGTTGGCTGTCTTGTCCCAAAATGCCTGAATACAACCAAGCTCGGCAGGAAAATTGGAAAAATATGTTTCTGCAAGGGATGAGATGCAAGGAGCATCCCTTCTCCAGGCAGGGCGCCGGGAGGGTCCCTCTCCCCGATTTATCTCTGTGGGTTTTGGGTACCGCGGCACAAGTCCTCGGTGTGTGCCAGGCCCCGTGGCCGGTGGGGCCGGGGGTTTTGCCGTGTGTTGTCCCTTCTCGGGGCCGCGGTGCTCGACAGTCGGGCTGGGTCACGGCCAGGGACTCGCATGCGATCAGCCGGCTGCGGCTTAGCGCGTTACCACCCCTCGGCTCGCTCCGAGGAAATGACCGCGGCCCGGCTCCTGGCTCGCTTCCCTGGGG